AAAGCTACATTTAAAACCAACTCCTCTCAATTTAAATTATTGGATGTTGAAGCAAGAAGAAATAAAATGAAAATGCTTTGTATATGTAACAGCTGGTAGTAAAAGCAGAGAAACGTTTATGTAATTTGTCTGTAAATAGAATTAGTTCTTGGAGAGCTTTAACAGTTTTAGAAGTAGCAGATGTGTTTGTTTTTTTTTTTTGTGGTTGAAGTCGGAAGATTGAAAATACTACTTTTTAAAAAATTTAAATTTTCTTCCATCTCCTGCATAGTTTCAGAGCTTTCACCAAACCAGCAATTGGATGTTGCAAGGTGGGAAACAATCACAGCAAGATGGAAAGGATGCTCCTGGCGCTCGGATCAAGATGATTGCTGGTTTTGTGCCTCATCAGTCTGGGCCTGGAGTGTGGCTTGAGACTTCTCAGTCCTGGTTTGGCTTTCTCTGGAACTGGTGTATATATGGAGATCTATGTTTAATTTGTTATTTGTCTTTTCCCACAATGCTACCACAGGTGTAGCTTTCAGCTAGTCTGGGAGATATGCTAGGATCATGGATTATATTTTTAAGATAGAACTTGTTTTAAGGTGTTGATGATTCATAAGAAATGCATGGTTGTCCTGGTTTAGTACCCTGTTCTGCACCCTGTTGTCTCTTCTCTAAAGCAGAAATCATAATTAAAAAGAGAAAAACAACCCATACCAGCAAATTAAATTATAATTATTTATTGTTAAACACAAATTTAAATCTGATGATTGTTTGCCTGCATAATTATTTATCTCAAATATTATTTTATATTGAAAAGACTTTGGAGGATTGTTTGTAATTTATTTTTTTTTTAAGAAAATGAGATATGCAGTTAAGTTGTGCTGTGTAAATAACTGTCTATTCCAATACTTGTCAAATTTCGATAAAATTTTTGTTCAAGTATCTCATGATCTCAGTAAAGTATTTCTCATATTACTCTCTGAGGTAATGATTATTTGTGTTTGTAGATGAGGTATTCAAGCAGATCAGGTAACATGTCTGTGCTCACATTAAGTCTGTGCTACAGCTGGAAATTCATCCTGATTCCTATAAAATCCTTGGCTGTCAGCCTAACCACTTAAACTTCACTTCCCCTGAGATAAAGCCACCCCAAACCAGTTTTAAGCTGTATTTAAACCCTCTGACATGCTGTAAGAAATAATATAGCTTTTGACTTCTTACCTTTCTGCTGTTTTGTGATACTCAGTATTGAGGGACTGCAAGGGGATAGCTAGATCTCTAGGTTCCTGCTGAAATCCACATATGAGCTGGAAGCTGCATGTACTGTGCATCTCTCCTTCATGCACTTCAAAGATGAAATAGGGGTTGTAGATGTAACTTATAATGAAACCCATTTGCAATATTACCCACTTATTCTACGTTTGATTTTTTTTTTTAACCTTAAAACTTGTAGTAATAAAGGTTTTGTGAATAAAGAACTGCCTGTGTTGCACAGGAATGACTTCACTCATCCTGTTAAATATGTTTCCTGAATTGATCTGTTAACCTCTGGTGCTGCAGTTGTTCCTAAAGAAGGACATGCCATTTCTTGTTTAGTAGCTTGCATCATGTTGACAATGGAGAAAGGCATATGATTATGCATTAAAGCAAATATGGCTCATATGAGTTTATTGCACAAAATTTTTAATACTATTGTGTGAAATGATATGGTTTTAAAGAGTGTAAGATTTATTTTCTTTTACGTGAAAAATGAAAAGTGTTGTCTCATTTAAAAAATAATATTTTCTTCTCTCCCCTCTAAACACACACTTCGAAGGTGCTTTTTTGTACAAATGGTCATGATGGGTTTGATTGTTTAAGACTGCATTGTATGTGCTTGGTCTACCAGCAAACTGGAGTGGTACCCCGTGAGCAGAGCATGGTCGCACATGTGACAAGGACTTGACCTGACAGTTGTAGTTGTGCAATGCGTGGAGGCTTAGAGCAACAAAGAGGGGCATGAGGGACTGCATAGCAGAGACCTGCAATGTTCTTGCTTCCTCTGCAGCAAAAAAATATGTTAATGCTTTTGTCAAGGAAACCTGAAAAGCTGTTTTCTCCTTTGTCTCTATCCTGTTTTACTTGAGACTGTCAGGATGTGGAGCCATTTGCATTTTTACTTTGTTTGAAACACTGACAAACCAACTTCAGTTTTGTGAGGGACATATCCATTGTGAGGGACCTTCATTACTGTTGGAAGACATTTCATCTGTGTTTAGTCTGTTATTTTGCATTTCAGAATTAAGATGTTTGCATTTTGGACTGTTGAACTACTGCCCTGTGCTTTGCTGTAGATTGGCACAGAATGTTCTTCTTTCATCACTAGTTTAAAGCTTTTAATATAACTGTACAACTTTGTGAACAGTTATTGATTTCTTCAGGAATGTAGTGAACTATTTCTAATCTCATCAACACTGAGAGGAAGTACATCATGCAAGTATATGAGAGCTTGTAATTGCATGTCTGATCTGCTGCATGGTACAAATGATATGAGAGGCGCCGAGTAGGTTTTATTTGGTTCAGTCTTGAAGACTGCTCTGTACTGTTTTCTTCTGCATAGTATGTTCTCTGCAAATGCTGTGAAAGAATTTGAAAGTGACTACCATAACTGAGTTGGGAGTGAATAAAATCGAAGTGTGCAATGTGGAATAAGGTAACCAAACAGCTAAACAGAAAGAAGGTCTGTGAATGGTTTTGAGGGTAATTTAATTAATCTATTAATTAGCAAAAAAAAGGGGGGGTTGTCTTTTTTGCTTATAAGTAGACGTATGGTTGCTGCTTTTATTTTCATAGTGGTGTAGTGGTTGGAACTCAGATAATCTACTGAATTTCTTATTACATGCTTTAGTCCTGCATCATTTTGTTCTTAAAAAATGTCAAGAATTAGTACCTAGAGGGTTAGAGTTTGCAGCTTGTTTGTCTGTTTGTCATGTAGTAATGAAATTTCAGCTCAATTTGTTTGTTATTATCAGTTATCCAAGCACTTAGGTATTTCTTTAATAATGGAGAGGGGTTTCCCCTTTCCATGAGCATACAGAAAATTAAGTTTTGTGGTTTTGACGGATCTGTATTCCTTTGCAGCAGAATACCTGGACTCTTGCAGCTAACCAGGTGCTAAAGCCTCATCCTCTTACAGAAATAGTGTCATGTGTGAGATTACATGGCTTTTTCTTGCAATGTACTTATGTCAGTGTAGTCTGTGTGTATTGCTTACAGTATTGCTGGTGTGCTTCAGGACTGTAATGTGGGCAGGTAAGTCATATCTGCTAGAGGTGAGGAGACCAGTGGTGGATGAATTTCATCCTTGACAGCAGCTCCTCTGGCTGCTGTGCGTTGCTGCTGCATTCAAAAGCTCGCACACATCACCTTTGGCTCTTGAAGTCAGTTTGCTTGCAAACAGGAGGAGCAAATGGAGTTGGTGTCAGGTGTCTCTTACCTGCTTCTGCCCTGTTAGCAAGAGCAGCACCTGAAATGCGGGAAGAAAGAGGTGGAGAATTAAGAGATGCAGCTAAGTATCTCATACGGGCAGTGAGCAATAGTAGGAAGAATGTGAGACACTGCAAGAGAATGCAAGAGAAAATGCAAATAACAGCTGAGGGGAAGGAATGACCTGAATTTGAAAGGAAATGGCTGTGAGGAATGTGTGTGTATATCTGAACAATAGCATTCATGGAAAACATTCATGTTTTTATCAGCAACAGCATTAAAGATGGCAGTTGTAGATGCCCATGAAGTCAGGTCCAAGTTTGTTGTTCAATTTTAACAGGAAAAAGAATCACTTTTGTAGAAGGAGTGGCCTCTTCTATTCAAGCAACTGAGTAGTAGTATATTATTGCTGTTTAAAAGCTTTTAAAATGCAGACTTTTAATTGCCGCTGGGTGAGTCACAGTAAGTTCTTTTGCATTTGATTTACCTGTGTCAGTAAAATACTGAATGGTGGATTAAATAGAGAGGACTGAAGAGAAAGTGGAAAAGAAAATCACTGCACACTAGGATTTAAAGTAAAACTAAAGAAAAAAAAGACTCCATAGTGGGGATTAGGAATTGTACAACTTATATGAAAACCTTTGTGTTAGAGAGTTGTGAGGGTTTTATGGGACAAGATCAAGACCCTTGTGTTCCTTCAGAACAGGTTCTCGTGAACTTCTGTTAGTTCATGCTTCTGAGAGTTTGTGACATAGCTTGAAAGCAGCTGAGGGGTCTATTTCTGTTTATAGTTTTATAGGCCTGGGAGAGCCTTACCTGAAGAGTACACTGGGGATTCCAGGAGCTCTTGTTTGTCTTAATTTGACATTCCTTTGACAAGGAAAATTTGAATCTAAGAGCTTTCAATGAGTTATTGCCACTATGGTTTGGCTTCAGTACTTTAGGTTTTGCCTTGTCACCTCCTTAAAGTGTGTCTCTTTAGTCTGTTGCAGGCTCTTGTTTTTAATGAGCTTGTATCATTTTCTGTTCGCAGTCAAAATGCTTTGGAAACAACCATCTGTTAGACATACTAATTGGCTAGTTTTTGAGAGAAGTCCTCAGCAATGCTTTGGTTTCTTCAGAGATGGATTTAAATGCAAAGGCTCAAAAATAGATTAATCCCTTCTGTTGTTGTCTTCTGGGTGGTTTACTTTATATTTTACTACCCAGTTGTGTCTTAACCTGTGATATCAAAAACATCATCTGGGAGAGAGATAACTGAGTTTACCACCTAAAGGCTGCATGTCCCTGTGCTGCAAACAGGGTGCTTGTATATGTTGGAAAACTGCAACAACTGGGTCTAGGGGGACCTGTAGGCCAATCTCATCCTTTTCCGCTTGTGAACATAGATTTGGTTAAGGTATTGTTTTAGAGACTGACTGTTTGTAGTCACCATCCTAATTAAGTGCCTGGAGCATTTCTCCCTTCTGTCATGGGTACAGAGGACTGTAGTGAACAGCACAGTATGGGTGTTCAACGGTCTTTTTTACGTGGACGTTGTGTGTCTCAAACTACCTATGTTAATAATGTTGTTTATTTCTCCAGAGGATGTCATTCCCTGTGGATATATTGAACAATTGCAGTCATGAGGACTTGGAGAGCTCAGCAGAGGACTTCCTCTTTGATCTTCGGTGGGGGAAGCTAAGCTGTCCTACATTCTTCTCTCTGCCAGACCACCGCAAAGTAAGAATCAGCAAATACTATAGTCCCAATGTTCTTAATAATAAAAAAAAATTAAAAATCACGTAAAAAAAGAAATCTGGGTATCACTGACTGTCTGCTGCTTCTAGGCAGTGGATCTGTATGCATTAAGTATTTTAAAAGAAACCCCAAAACCATAACCTTAAATCTTCAACTGATTATTCAAACCCTTTCCTAAAAAGGACTACCTCATGCAGTCTCAAAAATCTATCATCATCACTAAGGAGTTCATGATTTATTGAAACTGACTGACTCTTTTCGTATCTCAGTCCTTCAGTGTACTTCATGCTTGGTTTCGATTCTGATTAATAAGTTTCACTGACTTCAGAAGTGATTCTTTTCTATCTGAAATATTCCCTGCTTTTATTTAACTCTAGTAAAGGCTAGCTGTGATGCTAGCCTATCTTGCATGATAGGTTAGTGTTGGTTCTGTCCAGGTGAACATTTCTATTAGAATTAATACCAATAAAACCAATAGTGTATAGCCTTCATGAAATGTGAAGCTGAGAGGATTCTCTGTGGGACCTAAAGGTCAATGCTGCAGATGCCTTGGCAGAAGCAGAGTCTTGACTACTTTCCTGCATTTCTGCAGGTACTGTATGCTGAAATAGTTGCTTGAATTAATGTCCTCATTTGTGGCAATAGCCTGTAATAATCTTCTTAAATTGGTTAAGCAAGTTTATTTACCACACTGTTAATGTCTATTTTTTATGCATTAATTAAATGTTGGAAACATGTGAATTTAAATATCAAAATGCATTTCCAGAAAGGTACTCAGTTCCTTAAAGAAGGATTATTTTATCCTTTTCATATTGTTTGTGAGGGGAAAATCAAGCAGCCAAGTTCATAATTTCTAAAATGTGTGCAATTTAGGGGAACAAAACCTTTTTGAATCCAGCCTTCCAACTGTAGCGCTTTAGAACTTGTTAACAAACAACAATTTTGCTGTGCCAGTTTATTACTCTGCTTGACCGCTTCGTTCTTCTGTTGGCTTTGACAGCTTGCGCAGTTGCAACAGTTCAATAACGTAATGCTGGCTCCTTGCACACCTTACTTCAGTTATGCACACAAATGCAAACTGTTGACAGAACAGAGAAGTAACAGCACAAATTACTGTAGCTAAATCTGCCACAGTGTGAGAGTCAAGCTCTCTGTAATGTAGTCTGTCTTTAGGAAGAAATATCTGAAGTAAGGGCTGGGATCTGGTGCTTGTCCTTTACAGTTGTCTGTTAATGAGTCGATTTTCAACATTCATCTTGTTTACCTTACTAAACATTCTCTGTGTATTTTACTAAGGTTGTTTTAGCAAGAGTCTATTGAATTATTGTACATTCTTGTTTCAGGTTCCTATTAGCTTGTCAACTGTGGGCTATGTTCCTCTTTATGGTGAAGAGCAGACACACAAAGTTCTTGCGCTGTTTGCACCATGGGACTCGCTCACAGGTTTCGTTTTAAGTTTTTTATCTCTGTGTTGCTGTTTCTTCTTTTTTTGTGATAAATACATGTAACCAGGCCCTTGCTCATTCCATGCTACTGTAGCTCATAATTTTGGCACTCGTGCATTTGTTGTTCGCTGTCTTCTTGTTCACATACTATTATTTTTTGTTGTGAATTCATGTATATGAATAATAGAACTTTGCACACTAATCAGAGCAGAACTGGAGTCATTGAATTCAGAAGATATGTAGCAAAACAACATGGCGCTTGTCTGGATTGTAGTACAACATGTATCTCCTGATCTCTTTATGTACACTTCACCTCTCCAAAAGGAATTTATTGAACATTCTTAGAATCCATTAATTTGCTCATTAATTCAGATGCTCTTTTTTGATAGTGACTGATCAGCATCAGCTGTAAATTGTTTGAGGTCCCAACACAGATCTGGCTAAGATGACATCTCACTGTTTTTTGTGTTCCTTCCCTCCTTCCCTCTCTCCCTCCCTCCCTCCCTCCTCCTTTCCTTCTCTTTCTGTTTAATGCCATATATAGGATTACCACAAATGCCTATGGATCACACTCTTCCTGACAGTTACTCATGTGGCCACCAGCCTTTTTACATTTGTCTGACTCCCTAAAACTTGCACAGTTTCAGTATCAATATCCACTAGCAACCTAAAATATATGTATGAATGAGACTCCCCTTAGCAGGCTCAATTTTTAGTGGGAGGAGGTGCTAGAGCACAGTGTTGAAGGACAGTGCTTATGTCTGGAAAAATAGTTCCTTTATATTATACTGCATGACGTATGCATTTTGGTTTATTATTCTCAGTTATCAATAAAGATTTGGACTAAGGAGCATTTCACATGGGTGGGGTGTATAGCACCACATTTGTTGTGCTAGAGTAGTAAGAGCTACATTAATGTAGTGCCATCTAGAAGATGCTTAACTTGGTTACCACAGTGTTATTCCTGATTATGTAACAGCTTTAGTGATTATGTTTCTTTTGGAATGTAAGAATCACTAACTTTTTATTTCCCTTGTTTCTTTCAAGCTGTAGCCCTGTATCTTGCTGACCAGTGGTGGTCAATTGATGACGTTGTGAAAACATCTGTCCCTGCTAGACAGGGGCTTCATCAGGTAAAGCACTCCAACGTTCACTTAGCAATTAATCTTCTACTTCAAGATATGGCAAATAGCTAGTGTGCGAGATACTACATGTTTTCATTTCATTTAGAAATTAGGTGGCTGTTGCAAGTCAAAGGAAATAGAGGAATAGGTACTACAATCAGGAAAGGAACCTGATAGTGAAAATAGTGTCTAGAGCAAGAGTGACTCTTGTACCGCAGCTTCATATGTAGATTATTTAGATATTAACAGCGTTACAAGTTTTTTTTTTTTACTCTTTAGAACATTGTTATCTGGTTGTTTTGAAGCATCTTAGTAGAGTGGTGCATTTTACCACAGTAGTACCTATTGATCTTATCAGGAGACTAGTAAACCAAAAACATCTTCAGGAACCTGTTTTACCGAAGCAAGTTGAAGCTGGTGGCTTGCATGAGGCTATGGTGAGGCATGCTGGCTATATGTGAGGTCTGGAAAAGTAAGTTGCCTGGTGTCAGCTTTATTGCTCATCATTGACCTTTTTTACCATTATTGACACCAGTGTAGCATGGAGTTATGTTTTTTTCCAAAATTGGAATCTATACTTTTCCAGGATTGTAATTTATATCTGCCCAGGGAATCTGGACACTTATCTTTGGTTTTTGTGTTTTTGTATTTTCACTAGAGAATTTGGCTTGCAGCCTTGCTTTTCATGTGTTTCTTAATGGTAAGATGGTGATAAAGTCAGGAAAGCTGAATCTTTTACAGGTGGGGTAGCTGAGACTGAGCACTGGGAAGAGAGCAAGATTGCTCCTGCCTTCACAATGGGTAGAATAGTGGTGAGCTTAAATTTCATATAGAAAAGGAACCCTGCAGGTCAGAGAAAACTGTTGTAACTGGTTTTTTCACTGCATCGTGTCCTGTTGCCTGCCACTCTGTCAGCAGTGATTGAGTGTGCCAAGTCCTGCTACCCTGTGAGGCTCATCATGTCTCCTTTGTAAGAATTTAATTAGGAGGTCCGAGGCTGGTGTACTGCTGCTGTGTTTGGTGAATGTTTCTTAAGTCCAAAATTGAGTTAAATCATAACATTCCCACTCCACTACCCTTCTCCCAGCACTTTTCTCAGCCTTTATGCATTGCATAAAGAGTAATATTGAAGTCATGAAATATCCTCTGTGGTAATGATTTATACTTGACTTATTGCTATGTCTTCTGAGCATCTCCTTCCCCTCAAACAAACCTCAGAGAGTCATCCTGCTTTAGCACTTACAGCTTTCTTTGACTCTGTCTGCAGCTGTGTTAACTGTCAAGTTTAAAAAATAAGGTCTTTGATGTGTGGATATTAACAAATCTGACCGATCTTCTGAAATGTTTTTTCTGTGTTTCCTTAGGTGCAGTCTGTTGGAGAGAGAATTGTTCTCTATGTTCTGAATCGAATTATCTATCGAACGCAAGAAATGGAAGAAAATGAGATCCCATTTCTCTGTCATGGAAGCAGTCACTATGCTAAGATCATGTGGAAAAAAGGAGAGGCTATTGGGTTCTATTCTGTTAAACCTGCAGGTAGGACACTTGAAGACTGTGGGATTTGGGGGGTTAAGTTGTGGAGATAAGGAGCTTATTTGAAGAATATTGTATGTAGGTTTTACAAGCCTTGTAGGACTAATGAGTTGGTGTTTTCCTGCAATTGTCAGAGGTCAGATTGCTGTTAAGATCTGTGACTTAAATGCTTATATGCTTTAGCAATTTAAGAAAGTTCTTGGATTTCTTCATATTCTACAAAACATATTAGAAAATGAAAAAATTTGATATACCCAAAAGCCTTTTTCTTTCTTTTTTATTTTTTCTGTAGAACAGTTATTTACAGTTGGGCTGGACTGTGCTTATCTTGAGTTAGCAAAAGCTGAAGGTGTTTCTTTCTAGACATTATCAATATTTCACCCATGTTTGAGTGTGTGCTGTGTTCTTCAAATGTGTAGTCTACATGGAAGAGTATTGTTCTGGAAACACATGGTTAGGAAGAGGTGAAGCTCTTCTGGTATCTCAGAGGGTACCCAAGTAATGTAACCTCTCTGCTCAGGTTTTCCTTGCTTGAAAAATGACGATAATCATACAATGGCTTGCGTTGGGTTTGAAGGAACCTTAAAGACCACATAGTTCCAACCTCCCTGTCATGGCAGGGACACTTTCTACCAGACCAGGTTGCTCAGGGGCTTATCCAGCATGGCCTTGAACACTTCCAGGGATGGGGCATCCACAACTTCTTTGGGCAACCTGTTCCAGTGCCTCACCACCCTCACATTTCTTCCTAATATCCAATCTAAACCTACACTTCTTCAGCTGACAGCCCTTACCCATTGTCCTATCACTACAAGCTCCTGTGGAAAGTCCCTCTCCAGCTCTCTTGTAGGCCACATTCAGGTACTGAAAGGCTGCAAATAGGTCACACTGGAGCCTTCTCTTCTCCAGGCTGAACAACCCCAACTGTCTTAACCTTTCTTCATAGGAAAGGTCCTCCAGCTTTCTGATCATCTTCCTGGCCTGAAGATAAGGGTCATTGGCCTTAAAAATACAAGGTTCCAAAGACTATATTGTATAGACAAGCTGTAGGCTTCTCATTGGCCTCGTTAGAGAAGAGGGAAACTTTTTGGCGTAGTTCATGTTGATTCACAGAAAAAGGGCCTGACAATGGATTGGATGGTTAGTGGACTATCTTAATGCCATTGTATGCCATCCCTTTATCACCACTGAGTTCATAACTACCCTTGGAATCACAGAATATTCTGAGTTGGAAGGGACCGACAAGGTTCATTAAGTCCAGCTCCTAAGTGAATGGCCCATAGAGGAATCAAACCCACACCCTTGGCATTATTAGCTCCAGGCTCTAACTGGAGTACCTATGTGTTGTGACAGTCTATTCCATCTTTATTAAATTATGGATAATATGTTGTTTTGGGGAGAATTTCAAGTAAAGTCTCCTAGGTTTTTTTGTGTCTTCATTTAAAATATCAGAATTATTGTTTCAGTCTTTAAATAAGAACTGAATTAGTCTTCAGATTTGTCCTAAGTAATGATGTAATCAACATAAAGGTGCAATTCAAAAATTTTGTTTTCTCCTATTCCTTCCTCCATCTTTCAGCTTCACTTTTAGAACAATTTTCCTATGGAGCTGTATAGTGAGATTTCAAAGTGAGCCTTTCCTTTCTGTCTTGTCTATTCTTTTCTGGTACTACAGACTTTTTCTGTTGTATTAATCTATTGATATATCTTGGCAACACGATGAAGCTTGCCCAAAAGAGACAATAAATTACTGGTAAAAATTATTTCTTTTTAATAAAGTTATAAATTATTTTTATAACTTTATACTACTTAATATTAAATAATTCGGTATTTTTATAACCTATAAAACTTTTTATTTGAATATGCTAAAATCCATACTGCAGCATGTCAGTCAACATACAGTATGTAACCCATACTGATGGATATTTTTTTCCTCTTGATTATTTCAGGAAGTGTCTGCAACTCATTTTTTCATCAGAAGTATAAACTGACAGTGCTAGACACAATGTTTGTGAGAAAGAAACATCGTGGGAAAGACTCTGGGCTAATCATGTTGGAAGACTTTGTGGATTCCTTTACTGAAGGGCCTCTTGGCCTACGATACCCACTGTCATCCTTTGTGTATACAGGTGAGCTCTTTCATTTGTTCTTCTTTGTGGTTTCTTCACATGTCCAGGTGAGTTGTGTCATTCAAGTTCCGTATTTGTGGTCTCATCCTCAGGTTCTATATTAAATGTTCTGTGCTTTAGAGAGGGCTAAAAATCCTGATTTACTTAAGATGAAGTAGTTCCTGATTAGATTTTTAATGCTCTGCATGAGACTAAGCTATTCAAACTCTGTTGGCTTTCTGCTACTGTGAAGTTTACCGCTGTCATCTTCCCCCCACCAAGCCTGAAGAATGGGCTGAGGCGTTTCTGTGTGTGATCTAATGTATATCTTCTTTGTAGCATCTTTTTCTTGCACACACCTAAGCCTCATGAGGTCATTTAATTCATGCTTTCTCTGAACTTCTGGTCAAAAGGACATACTAGGTTATTTTTTAACTTATGTATCAGAAGGCACAGATCTAAAATACAAAGAAAACACTTATGGTTCTTCCATTAGCAACCTAAGAGAGCTATGTCATGTAGGAAATGACATGGATTGTGGAAACTATATTCTTGGGACTGTGTTCAGGCAAGAAGTACATTTCTTTTGCCCTATTTTTATCTGACTTTCTTAACTACTGGAAATTTTCTGATTTTCCAACTACCACTGTCTGTTGCTGGATCTGATAAGACCTGGTTTGTTAGGCTTCAAACAGGAAAATGATTTGAGCAGAATTAGATGACTAATTCTCTTCTATAGTCAAGAAATTATACAGTGGGGATCTTGTGTGCTGAGAGTATGCATCAGTAGGGAAATAGGTGAAAAGTGGTAATTTTCCTGGCAACTGCTACAGAATAATGACAAAGTATGCAACTTCACCTCTATGTTTAATACACATATAGCGAGAAAAGAGGGAGAAAGAGAGCAGAGTGGAAAATATTCTAGAAGTGAACAATGAGTGGATGGTTAACTATGCAATGGTAACATGTTAACATTCCCAGAGTGCTTTTCACCAGTGCCTGTAATAAAGTGGGGTAACAAAAATAACTCGACTACATCATGTGCTTAAGAACTCTTCCATCCTGAGTTGAGTCTTGTGATTGGCAGGAACAGTGACAGTGAAGTTGCAAAACTCTCGAGTGGGTACCTAGAGAAGAAGAAAAACCCATCCATCTTTGTTTGCAGATAATAATGGAAATATTTAAACATGAAGAAAGGATAAATTGAGAAGGATCAGTAGGGTAAAGCAATATTATGTTTATTTCAGACTTGACTGTTTTGTTAAGCAGTTCTTTCTGTATTTGTTTTTGTGTATGACAGTAGATTGCAAAATAATTTGATTTCAGATAAAATTTAAAAACTGAGCCACAACTGAGTATGTAGTGTCTATAATATAGTGGTTTTTCTTATGTTTGCTCAGCTTGTAAGCAGTATCTTGAGAAGTACCCTGCAGACAAAAACCTTTTGTGGCAAGTGGAGGGAGCAGGAGGTTGGTTCCAAAGAAAGTCTATTATGTCTATAGTGCAAAAGGAAAATCTCAAAATTGCAGGTATGGATACTTTGTTTTTTCATTCTCTGACACTTTTAAAAGTTAGACAAACACTCTACAAGTACAAGAGTGACTTCTGTGAACATGTCTGTGGAAACTAACAGAAAGATTTTTATTTGTCCTGAGACCTGTGAGATTATGTCCTTGACACAGGGTGAACATTACTTAGCAACAACTAAAACAGTGTTTTATCAACATTATTCTCATAGTAAATTTAAAACACAGCACTGTACCAGCTACTAAGAAGAAAATTAACTCTATCCGACCTGAAAGCAGGATAGCATGCAGTCCTTATTTTTTGTATCATTTACATCGTGCCCAGGTTCCACGCTTTCCAATACACTGTCACCTTTCCTATCTTTTGATATATAAATACACATCACACACCTCTATCATTCCTTTAGTCTATGGGCCATCCCTATAAAATGTCCATTGAGTTAATTTAGTCCATGATTTTGGGATCCACCTGTCATAACAGTCTTTCAGGGCAGAAAAGATGGTGTGTGTCATGTTGGATTGTTGCATGCTGAAGCTAGTTCCATCACCACTACACTTGTCTGGTTTTCCTGTAGTTCATTCTTCATTGATCTGACTGATTTTTACTGTAATACCCTTGATATGACAGTTGAAAGGCAATCAGTTTCAGATCCCCAAATTCAGAGCGGTGAAGACAGGCGCTGTGAGGTGCCCAGTGCAGTGATGGGCATATAGCTACCATAGAAGAGACAATATACAGTGTTATGTAGCAATCAACATCATAGAATTTATTGGCTACTCTCACACAAAATCAAATTCCCTTGAGGTATGCAGTGGACTTACCCATCCAAGTGCACCCATGTCCTTGTGTAATTCCACAAATATGTTTGCCTTTGCCTGAGACAGGAATAGCCCAGATTATTTATGTGCACTACAGGAACTTTATCCCTTTCTACAGTGTGTAAAATTTTGATCAAGCAGACTGACTGGCAGATCCCCTTACCAGGTGTCTTTTGCTAAATGTATGTCCTGATGTTTGAAGGTCCTGTTACTCATTTCTCCTGGATAAATTGATAACAATTCATTGTATCATTTCATTTTTCTGAAGGCTGGTGCATGGTAGGGAGTGTGATATTCCCACTCATGGGACTTTGGCCCAGTTGTCTATGGGGTTGTTTAGGAAATGAATCCTCCTGTCTGATTCTGTTCTTTCTGGGGCACTCTGTCACTATAAGACTTTTTCTTAAGGCCCAGTGTTCCAGGTGGTGGCATGAGGCAGAGGATATGTTCTCACCCTTCTAGTGGTTCCACCATTATAAGCACTTACCCTGGCTGGTTTGGGAAAGTGCGATATAGTCAATTTGCCCAGCCCCTCCATATTTATATTTCAGCCATCATTCTCTGTGCTAGAGAGGTTTTAATCACTTGGTCTGTTTAACTGCAGTGCATGTTTCACATTTATGGGTAACCTGTGCAATAGTGTCCCTGGTCAAATCTGCCCCTGGGTCATGTGCCCATCTGTAATTTGCATCTCTTCCTTGATTACCTGAGGTGTCATGGACCCACCAAGCTGGAAATAATTATGTTGCCAGTCCTGATCCATGTGAGCCACTTCCATCTTAGCAGCCTGATGCATCTGCTGATTGTTCTGATGTTCTTCGGTGGCCTGACTCTTGGGTATATGAGCTTCTACTTTCACAACCACAATGCTGTTCACCTAGACAGCATTATCTTGCTGCAGTGTGGCAGCTCAGATGTGCTGCCGGTTGCTGCTAGTTGCTGCAACCACCTCCACAGGGCATTTGGCGCTACCCATGAGGCAGTATAGAGCTAAAGTATTGACCATTTTTCTCATTCAGAAATGACTCAAGTCAGCTGGATTGCCTTCGCCTCTGCAAACTGTCTGTATTTACCTTCTCCTTCAGCAGTTTCTGTGACTTGTTGTAGTGGACTCTATCACTAATCCTTTCCTACAAATGTGGCAGAATCTATCAATAAACAAGGCATATTGCTTCTTATTTCCTGGCAGTTTAATATACAGTGGGGCCTCTTCAGTATGTGTCACCTTCTCCTCTGATGACATTCTGAAATCTTTTCCGGACAATCCATGAACACTTTCAAGATTCTTGGATGACTGCAGTTTCCTATTTGGGCTTATTGTTTGATCATTGATTGACCCACTCCATGCAGCATCAGTTGCATGATGTGTGTAGAGGAGACCCTTCCTTCAAACATTCCACCCAGCACAGGCAACCAGGGTGCCAGGAGGAGCTGTGCCTAAGTACCAGTCCCTTCTGAAGCAGCTTGAACCCATTCGTATGCTGCCAATGTCTCTTCTTCAGCTGGAATATGGTGGGCTTCCTGTCTTCTGTGTCCCTAACTCCAAAAACTTAGGGGTCAACCTTAAGTCTCTCCTGATGCTTTCTCCCAGAAGCTCCAGGCAGGACCATTCTCCCTGGCTGTAGAGTAGAGCACAGTTTTTATATCTTGCCCTGGCGTAGCTGGCCCAAGGGCTACAGCATGAACTGTTTTCTGTTTGGTTGGTTCAAGGGCTTGTCATTGCCCAGGGCCCCATTTAAAATAGTTCTTCTTCTGGATCACTTGATAGAGAGGGCTGACAATCAGACTGTCGTTTAGAACGTGTGTTCTCCAAAAATGCACAATGCCTAAGAAAGCTTACATTTCCTTTTTACTTGTTGGTGGATACATTTCTATTATTTTGTTAATCAGATCTGTTGCGATTTAATGGCATCTGTCTTGCTGTTTTGTTCCCAAAAACTGGATCACCTGTGCAGTGATCCTTGACCTTACTTTGTTTTATGGCAAAACCATCTTTCTCTCTCCATAGTGGTCCAGTTGCCGTGGTGACATGGAATGTCTTCCATGAAGACATGCTTGTCAGGCAACTAAGTGCCATGCCTGCTTGTCCCACCTCAGTAGGGTGGGAAGGAGCATCTGCAAAAAATATAAAACATCTGAGTTGAGACAAGAACAGTTCAGTAATTGAAATAAAATTAAATATAAGCATGATATAATAATAATTGTAATGAACAACAAAACCAGAGAATTAAAACCCAAGAAAGAGAATTAGTGCACAGTCCAGTTGCAGTAATTAGACCCTCCCAATTAATATACTGGACATGACATTCTGTGGTATGAAATATCCTTTTGACCAGTTCAAGTCAGGTGTCCCCTCTCCAGCTTCTTGTGCACCTGCTCACTGGGAGAGCATGAGAAAAAGTTCCGAAAAGTTCTTGAATTAGGGTAACCACGTTTAGCAGCAACCAAAGCATTGGTGTATTATCAACATTATTCTCATGCAAAATTCAAAACACAGCACTGTGCCAGCTGCTATGAAGAAAAACCCCAGCTGAATGCAGGACAGATGGTTAATTTTTATGTAAAGGTACTATACTTTTCTGTTTCCCCATTTCCTCTTTTAAATCTTTACAGCAGAGGCCTCAAAGAAGGAAAATAACAGTTTGCAAACAGAGGATAAGCTTAGTCAGTCTGCAGTATCTGAAGCAAGTGGACAGAGGACTGAGAGGACTGAGCTAGAAACACAGCTAAATGTAGGTACACAATCTGTTACCTCTTTTTTTTGATTGCGTTGTTACTGAAAAACAAATTGTGAGAAATTGTTTTTGTCCATCTCATTATAACCGAATTGGCTCAAGTCCATACTACATATAGAAAAGACAAATGCTTTTATTACTTTGTGTGTGGGTGTAGTGTTTCCCATTGATGTAACATCAGTGACTAAGCTGGGATTAAAAATACCTTTTTTATGTGTGTGTGGGCAGGTGGGGTTTCCCCATGAATGTAGAAAGTCTGTGCCTGCAGCTGTCAGGGTCTGTAATTTGAGTTGTTTAATAGCAGATTACATAAAGGAGATTATTTCAACTGTCTCTGAGATTAAACTGTCTAGAAAGGCTATGTGTAGAGGTGCACATTTACGTTGTAGTTCAATACAATGGAAAGTGTTAAGTTTGCATGTGTTCTGAGGCCACACAGAATGTGAATGACAAGAATCTGTAGCTCCCAATACCATGGGCATGGATGTGCTTCAGGACTGGCTGTAGTAGTGACATGACCATGCTTTCATAGAAGTCAATGCTTTAATTAAAAATGGGAAATAATGGCTAAATTAATACTCTCAGCTACTAAGATCTAAAGTTAGATTTGGAATGTAAGTCAAATGTCCCTTTTCCTAGTTGAGAAAATTAATATTTTCCAAAGCAAAACTGACAGAAAAGTGTTGATGTTTTCAATCTCTCAATAATCAGAAGCTGTATTTCATTCGTAACAGTTTCTGAAGCATCACCTCTGAGTTCTAGAGTCAGATTCCAATAATAATCATATCAGCAAAATGATCTAATAAAATGCATGATTTGGTTGTAGAGTTATATGGATATACTTGGAGAAAATAACAGAGTGATAGTAGTTCCTATGATTTTTATCGCTGTGACATAAGAACTAGCCCTTGTCTCTTGGCTCCAAATCCTCATAGTTTGGTAGAATTGCTGGCATCTCTATAGTTGACATCTACAGTATTTATAAGCAGTTCTACAATGATTTGAAAACTGATGGACCACCAAAGAAAATAAAACTTCCCACCTTCCCCCAAACCATGAAAAAACATACCTCAGCTTTCACTTTCACCTTTCACTTAGTGCTCCCTATTTTGTGTGTTTTGATGCTAGAATAATTTGTTATTAGCTTACAAATTCTTATGTATTTAAAACTCACTTGAAACTATTTCAAATAGCAGAATATAGGCTTGTCCACTTTTTGCTGGCCTTCTTGCATGGTACTGGAAGTGAGGCTGGAAAAGTAAACCAGCATGCTGTTATTGCCAGTTCCAGATTATTTCTAGCAGCTAAGAAAAAGCAATGTGCATAACTACATGTCCATAATGTGGGCAGCTTGTACCCACTTCACTAAGTGCTGAATCCTCAGCTAACTTGCAGAAAAAAATCCAAGTGTTGGGATGGTGTGGAAGAATGAGAGACAAAAGAGCTCTAGGGAGAGAGAACTGACTCTTGAGCTGATTATGCATGTAACCTGCGTTACTGCTGATCACTAATTTCTCTTTTTCTTGTCACATCTCTTTTTTTTTTTTTAACATAGGCTGCCATATTCTGTTTCATGTCATGACAAAAATAAAACTGTAGAATATAATACTAGTATAAAAATAAAACTTTGCTGTTAAATTTTGCCACCTACTGTATTGTAGTCCCTTGGGTTCATGAAGAAAGGGGGAACAAACAGTAAAAGACTTCTAGCATTTAATTATGTGTACATTTGTGATAAACAGAATTGTTAAAGAAAAAAACTTGGCAGCATTGTTTATAATGACAGGTCACTTTAAAGTCTTATCTTCTATGTTGGAGAACGGAAGTAAAACACAGAAAAATTAGTCATACACGACATAAATTCTAAAAAAATTAAGATTTGTTGAGAGATAAGACACTTAGATATAAATTAAGAATTATTGTAGCTGCTGTTCTGTGGGATCATTACAATGAAATAGTGATCTAGAAAGATGTAACCATAGGTAGGAAGATGAAGGTATTTTAGTCAATTCAGGAAATTTTAGAATAACATTAGCTTTGCTTTTGCTTTACAGGCTAACTTGCAAAAAGGTAAAGAATCAACAACTGTCCATGCAAGCACATCTGAAGGTAAAAATAACCTTCATTATCAGTATTGCAGTTAATGTAGATCAGTAGTTTTACAGGCTCTTACAGCTTTCTATCATCCTATAATGATCTGTAGAGTGTATAAAAACACTTTCCTCTAAGTGTATAAAAATGCTTTCCTCTAAGGTGCTGAGGCTCAACTCATAAACCTTATAGAGGAAATCAGATAAAACTGTTATTCATCTTGATAAAGGTATTATTCAGAAAAAAAAGTACCACAATGAAATGCTGTTTTAGTTGGACTCAATTTCTTTAATGAACTATTGGGGGTGGAGAAATTATATGCAGATCTTAAACTGAATTTGTTCAATTGAATTTATTTTGGGGTTTTTTTGGTGTTTTTCTTCTAAGAGCCTTACACAAGTCATGCTCCTGTCTGGACGCGAAGTGGTCAATTAAAACGTCAGAGTATAAATAAACATAGACAGCAACCTGGATCTGAAACTTCCAAAGGAGATGATGAAAATGCTCTTCCTGCGTCCAAAAGCAGGTACCAGAAGCCTGGATTGTACTGATTTCTTATTTTGTTGCTTGGGCAGTCACAAACTGCATCAGTGACTCAGAGTGTGCTACTGGTATTTCTGCTGCTTACTTCCTATTTAACTTGCTTGATTTTAAAATTACTGAAAGTAAAGTCTGATGTAAGAAAGAAAAGTGAGGCATCATCTGAAAGAGTGACTGCAGCAAAGTGTAGTATCTCTGAAAGCTCAGCAGACACTAGAAATAAGAAGTATAGAAATAGAACTAGAAATAGAAGTAAGAAAACAGTGAGAGCTGCGGCTGTTCTGTTACGACTGAGTCTGCGCAATGGTAAGAATATCTGTATTCATACAGCACAGATTCTTGTGATAATGTAACTGGACTTGTATCTGCAATGCTGTGTGTGGCCTTTGAAGAGGTGTCCCTTCCTGACTTCTTGTTATGGTGGCATGTTGCAGTAAAATGAAGTCTGACTGTTTATTTTAGGAGTTGATTATTGCTTGTCACTTAATAACAGGGATTATAAGAAACAGTATTTCTTCAGATAAAGCTCTTTGTTTATATAAAATTTTAAACCATTATATCTAATCTTACATCCTGAAAAAAAAAAATCTCCAGTTTTAAAGTTGTTATCCTGTGGAATAATTGTCAAATATGGATGTGAAGAGTAGTGTGCCTTAACAGTTCTTACAGGACAGGGCTTGGAGTACCAATTTGTACTGGCTTCCATCTGGAAAGCAAAACTGTGTCTATTTCAGTAAATAAATAGCCTCCTCTTCCCTTACAGGCACACTGCCCACCCCAGCCTGCTCCGTGTGTCTCTCCCTGTCATTCTTTTCCAGAGAAACCCACTGCAACCCTGGAAACCTCTTTTGAAGAACCTCAAGACAACCTGATTATTTTCTAGGAAATCACTTAAACTTGTTCCATTAGGTTTCTTCAAACAAAATTAGTTGTGGGTTTTTTACGTGAAGTCAAAGTCTTCAGCTAGACACAGCCTTATTTTTGTGTTTAAACTACTCTGTGGGACTACAGATGCTGTATTACTGTGCTGCATTGTCAGTGGGCTGCCCTAAGTTGGTTCAAAGAGGCTAAATGGCGCTGTTCAATGCTGCCACAGCTTGAATAATGCTTTGCCCTGTTACCACTAATATTTGGTTATGTGAGAGGATTAGCTTATATTCAGTATTTTTGGGCCTTGCAAAATTAAGCCAGTGAGGTGCTGCTGCTCCTTTGAACAAGATGTGTAATATGGTGGTTTTGAGCAGAGCTAAGGGATATCATAAAGGCAACAGAATGGGATTTCAGCTTGGTTCTTTCTTTTCATGCACATCAGCAAGTGAAACAGGGTCTTCTATTGGGGACCTTCCTATGGAGTGTCCTCATCTCAAGACTAGCATGTGGGCATAAAACCCCCTAATACTGCCTTTACTATGAGATCACAAAGCAGACTCCTGCAAATCTATTGCATGTACTTTTTTCTTTGTTTGTATGTGGTAGTTTCAGTTCATCTAAACTTTATCATCTCAAAAGTGAGAACTGAATATTTGAGTTAGTGTTACTACCCATCAGGTGCATCAGCATTTCATCTTTAGCTTTTATAATTCCATAATTTTAAACCGTTTCTACAGTGTGTCTAGGAGGGGTGGAAGCAGCTGCTGCTTTTCTTACCCTTTTGTGGCTTTCAAATATGTAATGTATTGCTACTTTCTAAATTTAAAATAATAAACTTAAAGAAATTTCTGACTTCTTTCCCGTAAAATGGAAGTGAGATAGATATTATCATTTTATAATTGCCAAAGCAATTTTCCTATTGATGTGGGTTTTTTTTTTTTCCTAATGAGGAGTTAGCCATTTTTAGATGCCTTTAGTTTTCTTGATTCTCATTTCCTGTGGCAAGCATGTGATACTGCACTTTATAAATGGTTGTAGTGGGTTGATGCTGGCTGAATGCCAGGTACTCACTAAAGCTGCTCTCTCACTCCCCTCTGCAACTGGATAGAGGAGAGAAAATACAACAAAGGGTTCATGAGCTGAGATAAGGACCAGGAGAGATCACTTACTGATCACCATCATGGGCAAAACAGACTCAAAGTGGGGACATGAATTAAATTTGTTACTAACAGGATCAGAGCAGGAGAGTGAGAAGTAAAATAATCTTAAAACCACCCTCCCCTCACCCCTCCTTCATTCCAAGTTCTACCTCCTCCCCTCAGAGGCATAGGAGATGGGGAATGGGTGTTACAGTTGGCTTATCACAGGTTGTTTCTACCACTGCTCAAGAAGAGTCCTTCCCCTGCTCACATGGGGTCCTTCCCACAGGACAGAGTCCTTCACGAACTTCTCCAGTATGAGTCCATCCCACGGGCAGCAGTTCTTCACAAACTGCTGCAACACAGGTCACTTCTCCATAGGGTGCAGTCGTTCAGGCACAGACTGCGCCAGTGTGGGTCACTCACAGGGCCACAAGTTCTACCAGGAAAACCTGCTCCAGTGTGGGTTCCTTTTTCCATGGGTCATCAGGTCCCTGCCAGGACCCTGTTCCAACCTGGGTCACAGCATCCTTCGGGCATGCTCCAGCATGGGCTCCTCCACAGGCTCCACGTGGCTTTCTGCATCCCCATCGTCCTTCATGGACTGCAGGAGCACAGCTGTTTCACCATGGGCTGCAGGGGAAGTTTGACTCTGGCTCCTATAGCACCTTCTCCCCCTCCTTCTCCACTGACCTTGGTGTCTGCTTTGTTGTTCACATGTTCTCACTCTGCTCTTATCTGGCTGCAATTTTCATCTATACAATAACTTATTTTCCCCTTCTTAAATATCTTATCACAGAGGTGTTACTATCATTCCTGGTTGGCTCGGCCTTGGCCAGTGGTGGATCTGTCCTGGAGCCACTTGGCATTGGCTCTACTGGACATGGGGGAAGCTTCTGGCAGCTTATCACAGAAGCCACCTCTGTAGATCCCCCGCTACCAAAACCTGGCCAGAGAAACCCAATACACTGGTCACGAAAGAATTTCCCTGCTGAGATCACTAAAATTATGTATTAATCTAAAAGATTAAAAGATGTATCTTAATATCTTCTGCAGGCCGGAACTTCTTGACCACACATCTGAAAGCTCTGAAGACTTGGTAGAAGTACCTAAGGTGGATACTGTTGAGAAGGATGAGGAATTAATTGTTGAAAACGAGGGCCAGTCTGTGTTAGAAGCGGAGCTACATATATCACCCCCTGAGAAACAGAATGAGAAGGAGGTGAGCTGGATGTAATAGCAATAACAGTTGGGAATACAACTACAATTTCTTTTAAATATGGTCCTTGCTGCCTTGATCCATGTGACTATCAACTCTTTGATTTTTTGCACCAATGCTTCATTAAGAAATGTATCTGAGAAGCTTACACTAATATAGAATTAGTTTCAGGGAATATTCCACTATATCTATTTTGAACAACAGAGTTCATAGAATCTTCAATGAGGTGAATTTCTAGCTTGTCTAGCAACCTAATTTTCTTCATTGATTTCTCCTAATCAGAAATTCCAGAGAACTGGAGTAAGGTCAAGATCTGATCCAGTATCACTAATTAAAAAAAAAAAAGTCTATGTGAAGAAGCCAACAGCTAGTCTGCTTCGGTGACTTCTCTTGGCTCTTTCTACTCGTCCCCTTAAAACTTGCCTGTTCTTTTATCTTCAACTTGTTAATAGCTTGAATTTAAATCTCTGAGTACCCTTTGTGCCTAGCAATGCCTCCAAGCTTTTATGTTCTTATTCGTGGCTGAGAAAGTCAATCTTATCTTATGTTGGGTTCAAGGGGTGAACTTCAACATGCATGCGAGATGCATAAAAACTGATTGGCTTGGCACCTAACAGTGTAAGCTATGTAGAAATTTAGTGCAGGTTACAACACCAAGCTACTAGTCTGGTTAAGATAGCTACAATGCATTAAGTTCTGCCTTCTTAGTACACATTTCTAGGTACCTGAGCTATCTGCTTCTCACATTAAGCTGCAAATTTAGGTCACAGGATACACCCACTAGTGCTGGGGAACAATAGCTGGACATAATCTTGACTTAAAAATGTGATTTATTTTTTTAGGAAACTCCATCAGAACCTCTTAATGGTGAGGTAGCAGAAGAAACTGGTAAGACCTCACTTATGGCTGAAGAGGAAACAGCAAATGAAGTTCCGAGTGGCGAGTCAAAATTGCAGTCTGAGAGTCAAGGAAAAGAACCCTTAACGCTGTTTGTTCCATTAATCCTTGAGTCTCCAGCAAAATCTTCAGAAGACACTGTATCAGAAAAGGTGAGATAAATGAAACAAAATGTGAAGTAATTTTTCCTTTAGAGTGTATGTATCTTGCAGGTTTAGGGTTTTTTCTTTTGTTAACAGATAGAAAGTAGCCCCTAATATGATGTGAAATTATTGGGAGAAGCAATTTAGGCCAGATAATGTAAATCCATAACGACAATATACTAATATTTCTGTTTCAGTATGCAGAATGGGGACATATATACATGTGATAACCAAAAAGAAAGATATGTTTGCTACAGTTTGCCTTGGCAGTAATGAAACTGCTGTTTCTCACTAAAATATTAGTTGGGTATGAGTGAAAAGCCACATCCTTATTTTGTCTAGCAATTCTTGCCTGATTAGGTGTACAAGTAATTAATTACTGCTAAAATACCTTTCTAGAACACAAGTTTTACTGGGTTTTGTTTATAGTGCAAATGCAGATTGTTATATGCTAGCAAAAATAACTGTATTTTATCTAAAATATTTTTTTCCCCTTAGGATTAATTTCAGAATGCTTTTACTGTGCCTGAGTACTCCTTTGAATAATTTGAAAATTGGAGAGTAACTCTGGTTACCAAATGCAAGTCACAAAATAGTCTGTTTCAAAAAAAGGAGGACTTATTGAATGTGTGTATACTATTCAAAAATGCTGAATGCCAAAGTGTCCTCTGAGGTCGCTAGCTAAGGGCAATTGTTGTTCAGCCTCTTGTATCTTCAATTAATTGTCCCTTTGGTTGTTTTGGCACCCTTTTCCTCAACCTGCAGGTTTTAAATGAAAATGATTCAGAAGTGATGACTGAAGAAGTTACATCGGTAGAGAAGGAGGGCATTGGAGAACAGCAAGAATCTGAAAAGACCACCACTGAAAATGCATCTGCTTCAGCATCAAAGGAGGAGCTCTCTGACAATAGCCTGCCTAACTCTGTGGTAACTGAAGCAGCTGAAGAATCTCTTCCTGAAAACTTACCTGCCTCATTGGAAGTTCAAAATGAGGAAACAGGGCACAACTCACAGGAGGCCCCTGTTGCCTTGAGTCAGAGCTCTTTGATAGTGGTTGAACTTGAGGGTGTTTCTTTTCAGCAGCCTGCTGGACAGGAAGGACAGAAGAACCAGTTGGAAGAGCCCTCAGAAGAGTCTACAGAGCAGACAGATCACTACACGCAGACAGTGGCAGAGAGGGCTGCTGACAGCAGCTCTGAGGAAGCAGAAATTGAGGTACCTGTTGTAGATCGGAGAAACTTGCGAAGAAAGGCCAAAGGCTATAAAGGTCCACCCAAGAAAAAAGGAAAGCCAGCTTAAAAATGAAATATTGATTGTTAATTCATCTATTTATAAGAAAGCTATTTTGTGTAAAACATTAGGGTGTAACTAAACCATATCAGGCACAGGACATGTGTGTTTAAAATTCTGCGTTGGACTTCCTTTTGGGTTCATCACCTTTTCTCAAGATTTAATTTTTAACCACTAGACATTGAACTTCCTTCATAGTAAGAAAGTAAATAGCCAGTCTCCTCCCTTCATAAAGGATACATGCTGAAGAAATACAGTTATGCTATCAAAGGGAACAGTTTGTGTATTTAAGGTGGCGGTCTTGGAAGAAAAATGCAGTGCGAAATCCTGGCCCTGTCAAGGTCCCTTAAATTCCCATAGATGGCCATGATACCAGACATCACTCCAGATACTGGTTTTTTTTTTTAATAACTTTGTGTTCTCTACTGTGGAGAGAAGCAGAGCAAGAAAAATCCTTCCTTGCTTCTTGTTCCCTTCCCAAAGGTTTTCTCATATGAGATTAAAAGAATGTGAAATTCCATCATTCTAGGTCTCAAAATATACAAGGTGTAGCTCAGTAGATCAACACAACATAAGCATTTATCTTTCATGTGAACCACTTGAAACAGCTGAGTCAGTAGAAACACAGTGTGGTATCTGCCACAGCTGATTCTGGTAATGGATTTCTTGTGTGAAGATTGAGATGCCTATGCCGTAAAGAATTTGTGGCTTCCAAAGCAAGCATTTTGATAAGCCTAAGTTTTTCCAGAGTGTATGGAGTGTAGACTACATATGGAATCATTTCAACTGCCTTCCTAACTACTTGCATGTGTTGAGTGGATAGTTGATTACTTGTTGCATTACAGGAAAAGGACATGATAACTTTTGATCTTGTTTTGGTCTGAATGGAAGTGGTTCTTTGTTTTTTCCAAATACTTTGCTAGTGCTGTGGGGTAACTATTAAAATGTTGTGTCTGCCAGATGTGTGACTCTTGAGAACACTGACATTTCAGATGGTTATGACATTCATTAGCGTGACTATTAGTGGGTGTTTCAGCAAATGCTTGTTTGCCAAACTTCCATGCCTTTAGGAATGATCAGGTGATAGCTTGCAAATATTTCTGATTCCCACTTTCTTTTTCTAACCTGAGTGTAATTCCTAGGATGATAGCTTCCCAGTTCACAACTTTTCCTAAAAGCAGCAACCAAACTCTGCTGTTTGCAGACAGAAATAAAACCAGACCTTCCATGCATTTTCCCTTCTGAGGTTCTCCTAACAAACCATATGTTTAACTTGTTACACTTACCTAAGTTACTCCTCAGTTTGCTATGTGTTCCTTTCCAGTAAATGAAGCTCCTCTAATAATGGGTTAAAACCTCAAAAATAAAAGAACAATGATTCTAAGAATGGGAAATCACACACCACTTTTTGTCCTGCTTATATGCCTTTTCCAAGGTGAGTGAACTAGTCTTTCACAGTGTCTCAAAAATAGAGGTACAGCTATTCAAGGTTCACCTGAATAGTTGCAGTGCTGTCTTAACTTTTATCCTTTTATGAAGCTAATATAAGAATCTGGTTTTGGACTTTTATGCTTACAGAGTTTAACTCTATTTATAAGATATTTTAACTATAAGATACATTCATGCTATTTCTTTTAGCTGATGAAATACCATGCTCCTTTTGAATCTGTTAAGAGCAGCTTATAGAAAAAAAAATTAAAAAATATGTTTTAAAACTAAACTTTAAACTTCAAACCTAAACTTTAAATTTGGAGTGCATGAGATTACTGAGTTAAGTTTGAGTTTCTTGAACTATTGCATGTAGCTATAATATCTTAGCCAAGTACATACAGGTACTCCTTACGAACCCCATCACTGAAAAATATTCAAGATATTTCCTGATTGTGTGCAAACATATTCAGGTGAACGTTAAGCATTTCTAAAACTTATGAAACTTTTTATATAAAGCATATAAGGCAAAACTTCTGTTATCTTCTGTATGGTTTCTCTTTTACTGCTGAGATTAATTATATTTTAAAAAAGAAGTGGCTAGAAAACACATCTCTTGCATTGCTAAGAATTTGGGATTTGTGAGGACTGGTGGCCTAAAAAAACAGTGGTTGTATACAGTATATTGCAATTCATCTTCCATTTTTAGGGCAAGCTTTACTGAAGATGAGTCTGCTGAATCCTTCAATTGATACGAATATATCCACTTTCAAAAAGTTAAGGATTCTTTTCCTTATGAAAAGTGAGCTCCAGTTATTTCAGTTACTCCTATGTGAATTTTTGATATCTGTGTTTATTGTTTATATTCCCAGTGAGGTTGGAAAACTGTTCAGGAGAAGGTAATTTCACTCACCTGGCTTTTACTTTACATGGCTAAGTTGGAATGATTTCAGTTAGATATTTGCATAGTGAGTACAGAAAAAAAAAAACACAACCAAAAAAACCCCCCCAAAACCAAAACCATAAGTATTACAACATTATGATATTAAGACAGTCTTGGTTTCTAATGAGAACAGTCAAATTTCTGATCTCATTTCAGTGAGTCAGTTTTAAATACTGAACTTAAATTCACATGTTTAAAGTATACTCTTGAGTGGATACTTCTGTAAATCTGGTGTACCTGGGATAATAGCTGATGGCCAGACTTTTACATACAGAATGTAGGCAGTTGGGGTGCAATTGGAAATTCAGATAACCAGCACAGTCTTGAAAAATGGACACTGTTCTAATTGTGATCACAGTAGTACTTTGAACCAAAGGCCACATTTTATAACAACTTCTTTGGCATCAATCATTCCGCAGTAAATACGGAGTAGGAAAATCAAATACTGACTTTATTGGTTTTATGGCTGTACTGATTGTCCCACTGGAAGAGTAGTTCAATAGCCTATGCATTCTGTTAAATTTATAAAAGGAAACATGTCTGACTATTGTATTGATTGGAATGTTTTATCTTGGGAAAAACAGTGGTTTCTAAGCTTGGAAATTTTTTTTTGTCTATTAACTATCTTATTACCATCAAATTCTTAAATAATTTTTAAGATCCTATTGCACCAGCAACAAATGATTAAAACATCAACTTTATACACATTTGTAACAAATGTTATTTACAACATGCTGTGGAACTAAGTGGGTATAGTGAAAGCAAGCAGTATTATTTTAGAGCTTTATTTAGGCTAGGAATGGAGCTTAAAGAACATTTTGTGACTTCAGCCTTGCACTTAAATGCTAAATGGTTTTGTACTTGAATCCAACATTTGTTCAAATGTCTGTCTTGTACTGCTTCTTGCACATTCTCTCTTGGTCAGTTTTAATTTCATGCAGAATTCTTGTTTGCTGTTCTCCTGTTCCATAGCCTTTTACATGAAAATGTATACATCTTACTTCAAAAGAGCTTTAACTTATTTTAGATTATGTTTGACCTCGGTTTGCTGCTTTTTTGTACCATTTCATGTGTAGATTCCAGTAATCAAATCGATCATTTACAATGTCATTGACACGACTTACGCAACAAATAGGTCTAAGTTTCAGCTTCCCTGCTCTAAGTGACTGTTCTAAAACACTATTTCCAAGGGGATATACTTCTAAATTTATTTTCACAAATGTGGTGTTAGATGTTTTCTAAACTAGTGATACTGTGTTTATAAATCTTATGAAAGATATCTTACTATTGCATAGTATTGTACTTTAGTCCTGCTAGTGTTAATATTTCCTTTTTTTAGTACTGCCTTGGCTGCTTTTGAAATGTTTGAAGTAGTAATTAAACTATTATTTTGTGATTTTTTTACTTCTGCTTGGTTTTTAGTATTTGAGTCCTTTCTGCTGTACAGGAAGCACATTTTAGAGTGGTTCAGTTCACTAGAACTATTACTTTACAATCTGTCTGCTACAAAGGAGTTCTAAAACATCAAAGGTTATTAATTGAAAAATCTTTCATCAATTAAACCAGTTTTCTGTAATTAGCTTATGCAACAGACTTTTTTTAAAGTAGCAGAATAGGCTCTTCTGTATGTTACAGTGTGGATTCTGCTGTTTATATCAATTATGCAAGATGATGTAAACTTAGCAGTTATTAATGGAGTTTGCTATAGACAACCAACTAGAAATGCTGTAATGCACTCCTACAGTGTAGTACATTAAAATGCCTTAAGAGCAGTAATTGTTGAGCCAACAAGTCATGTGTAGGTGTCAGTAATCAAACTGGTCATTTACAATGTCATTGACACGACTTACACGTAGCAACAAATTGGTCAAAGCTTCCCTGCTTTAAGTGACTATTCTAAAATACTATTTCCAAGGGGATATACTTCTAAATCTATTTTCACAAATGTGGTGTTAGATGTTTTCTAAACTAGTGATACTGTGTTTATAAATCTTATGAAAGATGTGTTACTTTTTTAGTATATAAATATATTTATAGCATAAAATGTAGTAAAGTTTTTCAAGACAGCTGTAGAAAATTATTCTGTTCATGTTGTTAATGTCCAGTAAAGGGTAAAGCAACAAGAACTTAAATGGAGGGTTATCTGTTCTGACGAAATGCCCTCTCTTCAAGCAAATAACTTACTGGCTTGTGACTCTCTCTTATTTTCAAATCACTTGTCATTTACACAAAGTAAAAATCATAGTAAGTTACTAAGTCTAGATGAGGGCAATGTGTTAAATTAATTAAACAGTTTGTAACAGAAGGCTCTGTGGTATAGTCAAACTACTGCCTCTATCAGATCATATAAGAGAAGTTATGATGACAATATACAGGCAGCTAGCTTGACTTCCTGACCAGAGTTCCAAATCTGAAACATGACTGAGGAGCATCTGTGATAGAAGAGGCTGAGAGCTGCAATTGTTCTGCCTGAAGAAGAGAAAGCTCAGGAAGGTCTTACATTGTGTACAAATACCTGGGGGAGAGGGGGGTGTATGTCATGAATGATTCTTTAGGTTGCCTAAAGAATCACTGTCAAAGGTATTAACAAAAGCAGGTTTAATATAAATTTGCAAAAGCATGATTTAACAAAGTTTGTTGGTGAGATTTGCTCTATTACTTATTAGATAGATGAAGCATACAAAGGAAAATAGAATTAGAATCAATCTGAAATTATTTACAGAGATTGAAGATGCCAAAGAGTAAGGGAGATGCTCCTGTTGAGTTGAGGTTCAGAGAGGACTCCGTTGCTTCTTTATATGCATAGAAGGTAAGGATTGTTGGTAATAGCACACTGTGAGAAAGAACAGGATGTGGCTGGAGATGGGGGCATGTCGAGGTAGGGCAGCACTTTTCCAGGAAAAACATCCTTGTTCTGGCTCCTGGGAATAAGCACAACACAGTACAGAGCAGGTGCAGGAATATGGCTGACCTACCGCCGTGGCTCCACAAAGCCTGGGTGCACATGTGCCACAGGACGTGGACACCCAGTCAGCTGCAGCAATGCCCACAATCCCTCCCTCCCTTCCTAATTCATCTCTCTCTCTGTGTCTCTCTC